TATATATATATAACCTTCGCTACTGCTTTCAGACACACCGACCCATTGGGAAAGGAAAAGTCACCATGCATCTCCTGCGGGCGTAATTTATATTTAGCACACATAACCCGAACCCACAACATATGTGGCTTAGTTAGCATAGTCCATCCTAGCTTCATCAAAAGAGCCTCATTCATAAGCCTTGCTTGCTTAAGCCCGAGACCCCCACATTCTCGCGGTCGGCAAATGTCTACCCACGACACCAAGTGAGGCATGCGATGCTCCAAAGAACTGCCCCAAATGAAAGAGCGGCCACACTGATCAAGCCTATTACAAATAGTCGTTGGTAAAGCCACGGTCTGCATGGCATAATAAGGTAGCGCAGAGATGACCGACCGGGTCAAGGTTAAACGTCCGGCCGCAGATAAAGCCTTTGTCTTCCACCCCGCCAGCCGATTTTCCGATTTCTCTAAAATCCCTGCATACGTAGCCGTAGTGACACGCTTGTGTATCAATGGCATTCCCAAGTACGTGCCCAAATCCTCGACCATCGTATAGCCCAATTTCGTAGAGATTTCCCAGCGTCGAACGGTCTCCACGGAAGAAGAGAAAAATAACTGCGTTTTAGAAGCGCTCACCCTCAAACCCGACGACATGCAGAATTTCTCCAACACTCCCTGCAAAACCTCGACTTGGGCTAGAGAGGCCTCCAAAAATAATAGGAGATCGTCTGCGAACATTGTATATTAACAGCCCCTCGTCCCACTGATATCGGCCTCCACTCCTTACGGTCCACAGTAAGTTGTATTTGCTGAGCAAGGCGTTCCATGCAAAGAACAAATAAGTACGGAGAAATCGGGTCACCCTGCCGGATCCCTCGGGTCGGAGAGAAAGACTCGCCCTCCTCTCCATTCCAAAGTAAACTCATCGAGCTGGAACTCACACAGGCCATGATAGCCCGTACTAATTTTCCGAGGAAACCTGCGAAAAGAAGGGTCTCAAGGATAAAGTCCCATCGCAAGAAGTCATACACGCCTTCTCTAAGTCCACCTTAATGACCATGTGGCCCTTTCCAGTCCTTTTCGTCCTCATAGAATGAATGAGCTCCTGGGCTACTATAATGTTGTCCGTGATGTGGCATCCGAGCACAAATGAGGCTTGAGCTGGATGGATAATATCGGGAAGAACTGACTTCATTCTATTTACCAAAACCTTGGTGAACAACTTGTAAGCCACATTAAGCAGACTAATTGGTCTGAATTGTTTAATCGTGGACGGAGCCACCGCCTTGGGAATGAGAACTAACAAGGATCAATTCAAGCCAGTAGGTAGGAGGTCACCAGCCCATATGCGATGCAATTATTTTCATTTCATTCAGTAGTGGTGTAAACTGGCCTAGAATTATTAACGTGGAGGCTATGGTGGTTTGATCTATGCTGCCAAGTCACTACCCAACCAAAACAACCAAAAGAATAATGATCCCAACCATTTTCCCTTGATTATTTTCCACTTCCAGAACAACTTGAGCCTCAAGATGCCCTCAATGAATCTCTTTCATAATGTGGTTCCATCCAAAAAGTCAGTTTTCGTGCTGCGTGATACTCCAGAAAATGAACGATGAGTAGTCAAAATCTTCTTGCCAGTTTGGAAGCTTTCATCAACAAAATGTGGATGTTTACGATTAACAAAACAAAACAGAATTGTGTTTTAACCAACGTATTGAAACGACATATCAGTGAGCTCTAATATGAACAAGATATACATAAGAATTATGTTCTTTCTCCGTCCCGCTTTCTAACAGTACCTTTTTTTTTGTCCAAGACGCTAGCCAAAACAAATGCGATTAGAAAATATAGAATGGAATTACACTTATATTTAGATGTGATAACAAAAGCGGTACCCGACTTCATTATGGATTACATTGATGCCATTTTTACTCTACATTTCACATAACATGCAAAAAATGATTTCATCGTCAGCCCGTGAAAAATCTGCATGAGGACTTGGTGAAGTGGTCTATAAAACCCTTCATTTCCTTTTTGTCAGCGTCTTCTTCAAACCCTTAAGAATCTTCCAGAACCACCACATGTTCATGATAGCAAGGGTCAATGGCACAAAAAACACCAAAAAAAATCCAACGGTGTGCATCTGCATGACCTGCAGACGATTTGTAACCTCCATAAAATATCTACCATTGTTGTTTGTGCTATTGATATGTGGTCCTCTAACTTTATTTATTTATTTATTTATTTGGGTATCCCAGAAGAACAGAATCGACTAGTTAAGAAGTTTGCTTAAAACCATCTGAAAACCACCTACCGTATAATCATGGTAAGGATACTCATAAGTGGAATACCAATGAGCAATGATGGGGGGATGTCACAGAAACAAAATTAAAAAAATAAAACAAAAAGAAAAGAAACATACGTGCCCCCATAAAATCCAATGTGAAAAGACATGAACAATGAGACCATAATAAAAATCTATGAGAATACAATGTCATGAATGTGCAGATTACCTGAGAATGGTGAAGGTATAGATGGTAAAACATGTAAACAAACAAAAGAATTCTTGCCACCTGCATTTGATAAATTAACTTTAGTAAGCTTTAAGGACAACGTGTAATAGTCAAAAACCAAAACGAGGTCCCACTACATTGGGATATCATGTAACTTACAAAATTCATGTATTATGCTCCAAACCAATAAATCTTAACCTTATGTTATATATCAAGTATGAATCCATACAAGGACATAGAATGCAGATTACGCACCAACCAACCAAAAAATATCACGACACCATTGATCAGATATGCATTGGATCTCTTCAATCCAGATATGTCAAGATACCTGTACAATTACAGATATATTCAGCAATTCAAACAATTTGTAACGAGTACTATTTTTCAGTCCACATTATGGAATCATACCATCTCATATTGATCTCTGGGGTGGTCACTTCAGATATCAAGACCATGAAAGTGTAAAGCTGACCCTCCCCAGTTAACAGGGAGTATGCAACTGCAATTGCTGAAAGAGAGTGATGGACAATCTGAAAATCCAAAATGAAAGGAACTGTAACAAATAAGGGAATGGAAATGGCTAATGTACAATTCAATAGGACAGCAGACAACACCAAGCACCTCCCTAGAGAGATTTAGGATCATAGGATCAAGACAAAGAGAAATATACACAATCTTTTGCAGTCGACTTACATACTCAACTCCACCCAAAGAAGGATATAACCAACAAATCATTCCAAGGTCTGCAATGAAGTAGCCAACCGACAGCTGCAAAAAACCAGAAGATCATAAAAGAAGGTCAATACCACGAGCATCCATCACCATATATAATGAAATGTGTTATGCATTGAAACAAAATTACATATAAGAACTTGACACAAGATAATCAAAATTGAGCCAGTTATGCTGAGGTGCCTCACTTAACATCTTGCATCTTGTTATACAATATAGTGCATGCGTACATGATTAAGATCATAAAGATCTTAGAAAATCTGATAGACAGGACAAGAAACAAGAATATTGGAAAGAAATGCACTACTCCTTGATCGCAGCTGACAACATGATTAATTCTTGGATACTTCCATTCTATGATTAGGAAAACAATGCATAGTTATTGATCACATATTTTTTTCAAAATGAACACTATGATCTTCAATTAGAATAAGGAAACCAGCAACAGTAGTATTGCATGTTTTTGGTTGCTACCTGGAGAAAGTTGAGATACAAAAGTAAATCAGAAAAATTAGAAGTAATCAAACAAAAATATGGCCCTTTCAATAGCATGCTCAAAACACCCAATCTTCTTAGATACAAAAGTTCAGGGACCTTTGTCGCAGAAGGTATCACAGAAACTTACCCCTAGTGCAAACGTTGAGAGAGATGAATATCTGAACGTAATTAGGCCAGCAGAATTGTTATCAGAGAAAAGTTCAGACCAGAACACAAAGTACAAGGACATTGCTGAAATAAAAACTGCATGAAGAGTGGAAACGCCACTGCAGAAAGTTCATTGAAAGTGTCAGCATAGCATAATATACTGAAAATGAATGTAAAAAACTTAACAGCGAGATGTTCACCGATTGTTCCACTCTATTCTTTGAATTTTGGTGAGGCCGTTGTAACTTTGGAAATAAAACGTGCTGACGAGCTGAGTCATATCATAGAGCTGCCATGTGCCAAACAATGACTAACATTCAATGAAGTCTCAGAATAAGACAGCAGGAGAAAAAGATCAGTGGCCAAAGCATGTGTGGATTCTTAAATATTGAGGGTCACTACTGTTATATTGTAATACAAAAACAATACTTGATGTATGCATTTCGGAAATATAAAATAGATGACTGTTGATGGATCATCAAGTAACACAAAATGGTGAGAAAGTACACAAGTCTGATTACTATGACTTAAGCATTTATCAATATAATAATTCTGAAACTCACAAACCAATGACAATGGCACCCCAACATACCAATTTGCATGTGAACATTCCACTGAGGACAGAAGTGTATGGTATATAAGGATCTGCAAGAACATAGTTTCTGACCAGCACACCGGCCTTGTTTTGATAGGATTTAATTGCCAACACATTTCTTATAGAACGCGTCATTATTTTGAGCTACTGCACCATGTACATAAAGTTCTTCTAGAACATGATAATTCCCAGGTTCCTGGAAAAAAATCACAAACACTGAGGAGAAAAAGAAAGATAACACGAAGAGGAAGCGTGATAAGAGCCAAGACAATGTAGCAGAGACACAAGATGTAGTTAGTTGCACATACTCATAACCTTTCTAAACCATAAAACTACGTGGGTCATTGATGGACTATATATCAGAGTACTTTCTGTTCATACCACTAAAAAGCATGCTGCAGAAATCTACTAGATAATCAGCACAACACATAAATGTAATAGAAGAAATTAAAGCTCCCTTTGGTCAATCACATACTTTGCCTGATAAAACACGGATGAAAATATTGAAACTGTCATAAGAAAAATTCAAAACAATCCAAGACTGACTTCATCTATGTGAACTTAATCCATTTTGTTAACATAGAACCAAAGATGTGCAGCAGGGACGTGATAGCACGTATGTCAATGCTCTAGGTTAACCAGTGAAGCAGCACCTAATGAGGCAGTCATTAGTCATCCGGAGAAAGAAAATAAAAAAGTTAAAAATGTGATGTGATCCCTTAATGCAGATATAAGCATGATGATTAAGCAATAATTAATGAATATATCAAGTCAATTTAAGGTTGGTTCCACATGCACAGTCAGAGAATAAAATTGAAACAACATAGAGCCACCACGCCATGTCCGTCTAAAGATTACACAATGATGCTACAATAGTACAAAACTGCGCCCACAAGGAGAGTTGACGAGTTCAAGTTGAATATTACATTAAACATACTGGACGATAAAATACGTTACAATCAGTTGAAGGGTTTCAATTCTGCAAATAATGCTGTTAAGACCTGAGTCTAAAACAGCAACAATAATTATGAAAGTAGAATTACATTACAACTATCGATTATATTCATGATTATATAACACCTATGTTCATGCAAATTAATAACATACCCCACCCTCAGCATAGAAAAAGCTGGACAATAACAGCATATCCAGTTCATATCAAGGGTTAACAGCACTAAATAGCTTGGCAACCACTCAATAAACAAAAACTTACTGAAATTATTGAACGATCCTGAACAGGAAAACATTCAACCACAACACGAAAATCCCAGTAACACAAGGTCATTCAGTTGAAAAAAAAAAAAAAATCCAAATCTAGACCAACTTCAAGCTTGAAGCCAGCAATGTACCCAATCAATAGCGAGACACACAAACCTTATTTGCATCATATCGACCTCGTGTAGCCCCTTTGCCATAAAAAAAAATCAATTAACATACCCAAACCCAAAAGCTTTCCAAATGCACGTAAAGTTAATGGCATTAGTCACCCATATATGACAGCCATTAAATATGGAAACAAACCGTAACAAAACACGCAAAGATTCATCAAGATTATCACCAAACATGCACAGAATTTGTTCGGCATACCTAATTAACAAAATCGGGGGAAGCCACGAGCGCGTCTGAGTCACAATCTTGGCCACAGCAAGAAAAAATTAGGTCATTTTTCCATTCCCTCTTACAAAGGGATTGCAGAGGATAGCACAAAGCTCCCGTCCAAGTAAATCAGGAGAAAGAAAAAAAGATGAACAGGTGAACAAGAAAATCAATCAAATATATCAAGAATTCAAATCAAGGCATTGTTGTGTGAATCGAGTTTAATATTTCCATTTTCGTTATTTTTTTCTTTCTTTTTTTCTCGGTGGTTGCTCTGTTGTTTCGAATCTCCAACCGAAAACAATAAATGAGAGAGATGAGATAATTATTATAAAATAATAATTTAATCCTTTTTTTTTTGTGTAGTCAGTCACGGTTTTCGAAGTTATACTTCGACTAATTCGTTGGTCGATTCAGGTCGCACACTTGGTAGTGGTGGATGAGTCTCCTAATGAGGGTTTTTTGTATCCACAAAAACTCGAATCCGAGACTTTGCTTAAGCGATATCAAACTGCTTATCACTCGAGTCAACCTTGTTGTATTTAATTCCATTTTTCGACTGTTGAGAAATGGGAATTGCTTTAAAATTACTAAAATCACGTCTGGTGTATGGTTGGTTCGAGAGAAAATACGTTACGTGTTGGGATCTTATTGGCTGTTGTATTACGCGTTTTGGGGTGGCATTTTACTATTATCAAAACCCAAATTTATTTATTTTAGTCCACCGATGAGCATGTGAAGGATGATAACCGCAAGGTCCCATCAGAAATCATAATAATAACACTGTTATAAATGTCCTAATCTTACTTCAATCTGTATATATATAGTATATAGTAGATATAATTAGAGGAGAGCATGCTTGCTTAATAATTTTCCACTCATATCTGATCTGATTATTTATTATGACATCGACATATAAATCTGTATATATATAAAAAGATTTATTATTTTTAAAAAATGGCAGGTCAACTCTTTGGTCAAATTCAAAAACCATTAATTAGTTTCTATTAATGGCAATATTTTTTTAAATATTTTTTTTTTTGGGCAAAAAATTGAAATTTTTGGATAGGATTTAAACAAACTAATAATCCCTAATATGAAAGGATTTACTATCCAAAATACACCTTCCTTTTCCAACCATATATTCCTCAATAAACTAATTTTCTTGCATATGCAAAATAATTAATGATTTGTTTGAATTTCCTGTCAAATTTTAGTTTGATATTGGTCAAATGTTAGCATATATACATATATAAGTAAATTTATATGCAATCTTTTAAAAATTAATATATATATATTGTAATTATTGAATTATTTTACTTTTTTTTTCTTTTCCTTTTTGTTATTTACATTGTTATTGGTTCAAACTTACACATATTTTGATTCATTTGTTCTACATATAGTCTGGAAGCCTTCTTAATTTATTATTGCTTCTTTTTTTTCTAAATCAAAACCAAGTTGTTGATCGTAAATAGTATATGTGTACAAAGAACTTCTTCTAACAAAATCAAAGCCGTATCCATAAATCCATATAATATCACCACATATACATACCGATTTTGACTTATTAATAAAAGAAATATTTTGAAAGCATATGATAATATAACCATCTAACCATATGCACATACCCGATTTTAGTTAAAATTGTACTATATTTTTTTACAATAATTCGTATAAGATTTTTTGGTATAAAGATTTGGTAGTAAATATGGAATATATACGCTTAGATTTTCGCCCAAAAAAATGTAACAAAATTTGATATTCTTATCACTTAGAAACAATAATATTATGAATTCTTATCACATACCCGAGCCTTTATTTTCTGTTTCAAGTTGAATTGAAAATTCTAGCTTTTTTACCATGTTAAGATCGTCGTTTGAATTTAAGGGCGTTGAACTTATTTCGTAAATCCGACGTTAGTCGTGCCTTGAGTTGTTGTTTCATTTTCCGAGCCAAATCCCTGTTTTTTTTTTTTTTTGTTTGGTAAATTCCAGAGCCTCTGAAAAATTATATTTTTCGTAATTATGTCGAGTTTTGAATCTCAGTTGCCGAGTAGTTGAACATCGTCAAAACGGCCATCGACACTGAAATCTCGAATGATATATTAGAGCAAGCTCCTTGCTTGCGGAAATTTATGATAGCCTATTCATAAACAATTGAAAAAAAAAACAAAAAACAAAAAAAACAAACCAATTTTGTGTTGAACTTGAAACATTGCAATTATTATTTTAAAAAAAAATATATAGAAATTATTAAGGAAAGTTTACGTTTATTTACAGTCTTATGTTGATTTATTTGATGGTCACCTTAATAATTGTTGTATTTAATTTTTGTTTTATTTGGTAAAAATTGTGTAATACTATGGAATGTGAAAAAGGAAGAGGGGAGAGAAATAATTTATAATATAGTTAAAAATTATAAAAGTTGTCCAAGCGTGGAGGTAATTTTTTTGGCGGCAACAATCAGCATCCGCAACTCAAGGGAGAAGCCCAGCAAGGGAGCCCAGTTGAGTGAGGCCCAATTTCCGCAGCCCTTTGTGCAACCCGCGTCCGGCCCGAGTCGGTATGTGCTCCTCACAACGAATTACCCAATAATCAAACTCATAATGTTGTGTACAAAATATTTTTAATAATATAAGATTTTTTAGTGACGAACATTTTATGATAAATAATGTTCGTATGTATTAAACTCTCATATATCCTAATGCATGTCAAATTATAATATTCTCCAAATTTATATACTCGTGCATCGCACGAGATACGCACTAGTTTATAGTATATATATAGAGAGAGTTAGGATTATGTGAGAATGGTATATAATAAAAGAAATAAAAATAATTATGATTCATTGAATACTAGTAAAGTGCCCGTGCGATGCACAGAGCTTTATTATTTCTTTCCATTTTAAAAGACAAATGTATATTCAAATTAAAATTGTATAATAAAGGAGCGATCATGACATTATTAAATATAATGAAAATGAAATATCTATATTATTGAACACTTCTTTATATACACAATTATTAGATACAATGATAGAAAAATATATGAATATATAATGCTAAGACTCTAAATCCATAATTGAGAAGACGATCATTTTGGTTGGAACTCCCTTGACAGTCTTCATTTGAATATATATAGGTTGTATGGAAACAACCAATCCAATAATATCTACAAAAATATAAGACAATTCTATCATATTAAAATGCCACAATCGACTTTATTATTGGTTTTAGTAAATATATAAAATTTTAAACTACGTAAAAAATTAGAACGTACCAAACAATATGTCTTCATCAACATTTCAACATCCATTAAATTTGTAAAGTTCCTAAAGTTGGAAAGGATACATAGTGAAATCGCCCCTCCACTTGTGAATCTTTGTTTGGCCGTTTATAATGATCCTCCAAGTGCATATCGTCGATTTGTATATGCCAATATTGTTTTCACTTAGTAGTTTTTCAATATATAAGCCCACATTCTTCAATTTCGCCGATGAATTTTAGAATATTGACGGGTCGAATTATGTTAGTAATTCGT